TTAAAAAAGAGTTCCTAAAACTCATCCATCAAAACCTTTCGCTCATACCTCATTTCTTTGTGCTCTGTCATCTTATTAGACACTTTTTTTAAAGTTTATTACCTTTCATCCTATAAGACTCAGAGTGTTGTGACTAAAGGTCGATCTGGAAGCACGGTCTCAAGAAAATTTTTGGGCATATGGCTGGACAACTTGTACGGGTTTCAGCCGGCCGCGTCGACCTTTAAATGTGACTACGCGTACCTAAATCCTTCTATTTTTCACCAATTGCTAAATTACGCGAAACTCTTGGAGTCACTCTAAACACTATTGATTCACGCCACGTAGCAGTCATTGATTTTTGAAGCAGGAATGCTATCCCTAACGCCTACAAGCAAAAAGACGAATATACACATGGACGAGGCTAAGATGACATTTCCTTCTCTTTTCCCTTTCTCCCACAAGGAAAAAATGTGCAAAATCCTATTTTCGAAATTAAACCCTTTAATTGTAAATTCAATATCGATGGAGGCCGATCCGATATCACCTCTGATTGGGCCCTTTATACATGTTTAATCTGATAAATGTGTTTTAAATATTCTTTATTAATAAATAATTTATTAATATATTCATTTATTTATATATTAACAAACATACTAAGAAATTTTAAATAAATATTTAGATTAATAATTAAAATTAATGTGTCTAAAACATTTTTTTCTTCTCAGAAATACTAAAATTTATAGTTTATACGAGGTCAACGTGCGTCGATGGACTGTCAATATCACCAGTTTCACGTAAAGCAGATTTAATGATACGTGACAGATATTGACAGAGTTGGACATTTATGGCAGTTCATGGCCCAATATTTTAAAAGATCTGCTGGCATATTATAATTTATTGCTTTAAATATTGGTTCCTTGAGATAATTTTCGATTTCAAAGAAATACAGAATTTCGATATTAAATTAGACTCCTCATTTACTTTAAAAAACTTTTAAAATTTTTTGTGTAAAACTAGATGAATTAATTTCTTCATAAGAGTCTCGTAATGCATTCTAGAATTCGTTTTTGTCTATAAAGTATTGATTGAAATAGAAAAGAAATTGTAAAGCGGGGATCTAAAAGAAATTGTTTCTAGGAAGTAAATATTTTTCATTAAACATAAGATAACGTTTAGAAAGATCTGTATACATCGCACCCTTCATAGTCTGGGCATTATTATGCTCACAATTAGCGAATTCTTCAATAAGTAATTACTACGAATAAAATAACTCTATTTTTGCATTTCCCCCAGCAAATTAATACTCAAGTTAGATGGAAATTTTTTTTAAATAGATTATGAGGCCATTTTATAGAATCTCATCGGCAAATTTAGGAATATCGGCCGATAACCGATATATGACAAATTATCTGCCTGACCCGATCCGATAACATCGGTGCATCCATGGCTAGAAGTAATTTATATTTCATATCCAAGTCTCTTACTTACTTGCGAGGAATTGCCATCGACCTTTGAGTAGGCTCTGGCATCGTAACTCCCACTTGCCTCACTGCCGTATTCATTGTCGCCTTTCAAGAGGTGACTACCTAGACACTATGCCGTAATTTCCATTATAGAACTCTCGAGTCTATAATATATATTCCATCATCTGTAGAGCCATCCGGCTCTAAGCCCCGATAAATAAACAAGTTCTGATAAGATAACCTATCATTTGGACCCAAGATGTACCCTTCACTTACACTATGTTAAATCGCTCTGCAAAATCATCCTAAAATAACTCCCAACTCCAAAACTACTGCATGCTAATAAAACCTCTTAAACTATTAGGCAAAGATTAAGATTCATTACCAGATACAGTTTGTTTGCGGCAAATAATGTCCGCCATGTTTGTGTTTTTTTAATATACTTTTTTTAATTGTTTTGTTATTGGTCAGTGTCGCTGTGAATATACCACTAAATTTTACATTTAAATTTATATAAAAAAATAAATTAAAATAATATAACTTTGAATGATTTACATGAAATATCATTAGATTGGAAAAAGCTTGAAATGATTAATACATTAAAATATCAAGGCAAAAACAGAAATGAAATATATACGATAAAAATATTAAAAAAATAGCTAATAAATTTTGAAGAAATAGTTAAAAGTTTATTGAACCAATCTATATTATACATCATATTTATCATATATCAAATACGTTATTATATGTATAATGTTACAACTTTACAAGAGAGATATCGAAATATTTTTTCATATTTTAAATAACAATATTACAATATATTATATTATATTATATTATATACATATAATTTATATATACTTAAATATATAAATAATATTTTATATATAATTTAATACATTTTTAAAATATTATCTGGTATAAAATATATCTATCTCTCTATCTATCATGTATGTCATATGGTTTAAATTTAATCGTTAATACAAATGTCCATAGTGTTTGATGGCTGGGATTAAAAAAAAGGGATAAAAAATGATAATATTGTATTTGTTGTGTATATATTATATAATAATAGCAATAATAAATATCCGTTTATTATATTGGGGCATGAACTTCTTAGTTTATGATATTCTAAAGGAATATTAATTAAAACTTCTCCAAATTTGCCAAAATCACTTTTTGAGCACAAATTTTTGCCGGAAATAGTTTCTAGAATGTTTAGAATACCTATCTTATAAAATTGTAGACATTCTTGCCATTAACCTTTGAGTCATTTATCATATGGCAAAATTATCTCAAATTTATAGAATAGGTATTCCAAAAAAACATATTGACCCTAGCATCATATATATATATCTAATTGATATGCAAATACCAACTTGAATTTATAAAGATAAAAAAAAAGAGTTTTTTCGACAACTATTTGTAAAGAAGTTTTTGGATTCGTTTTCCCATACGACAATTTTTTTTCTTCCTCTTACAAGTAACCCATTCCATCACGTGTTTGGGAATATCATTCCATCAGTCCCTTTATGATATTCAATTTATTTTGCACTTACTTTTTTAAATTTTGAACATTTTTATAAAAGCAAGAAAAATTAACTCGTTTTCTTCAGGGGGGGGGGGGGAGGGTGGGTATGGGAGACCCCTCCTCGAGAAAATTCTAGATTGTTCTATGGACTCTTCACTTTCGATTACAATGATTGTAACTCGCCTATACTATGCATTGTATGCTATACTGTCAGGACCGAGAGACAATATTAAAAAACCAAGATTAAATAAATATTGTATGTGTACTGGTTATTCTAAAAATATTTTGTATTTGTTTACCCTAATATTTTTTAATTTTTTGTTTATATTACGTATTCGGTTTAAATTCAAATTATTAATAAATTTAAAAAAAAATAAGTGATTATTTAATATAATGATAAATAAATAAATCTTAAAATGTATTTAAAAATATATGAAGTTTTACTGTTTAACCAAAAAACAGGACCATTGATACTTTTCTGAACAATTCTTTTTCTTTTAAGTAAGATGATTCGAAATCATGAAAAAGGGATGATGTTATATCAAACTAATTATATCTGACTAGTCGCATAAAATGCCGTTGCTAAAGATTGATAGGAATTTAATGTATGGGAAATAATTATATATCTATTTAAAATCACGTATGAGTGTATCCAACATTTTTGGGGCATGCAAGCTTGGATTGTATGTTCATTCCTAGTGAACATTGTTGTACTGTTATAACATAACGTCCTTCCGAAAAAAATGGCCTTTCAGAGTCAGTTGAGTTAGATGGAATTGGCATGATTTTCTATAATATTGAATTTATTTTCATGATTCCCATTAGACGACGACTTTATCAATGTACTTGTCTATTTCTAATTTTTTATTTTATTTTATGTTTATAATTTTCTTCAACCTGATATATTTTTCCAAAAAAGATCATTTTCTTGGATTTATTTTGTGTTTCATATGTTCTCATTTAAATTGAGACTATCATTTATTTTATACATATTATTATATTCACATTGGTTAGATAATATTTGAAGGGTGTCTATAGTTAGAATAGTATCTTGATACTTTAAAGTGTGGCAATTATTGTCTATATTATATATATATACGTTTATCGAAATTTTAAACCTTCCGTTTAGCTAAAGTAGCTAAGGAAGGTCGTTGTAAAACAGAATTAGGAGTATTATTATAACTGAACATATTCAAAAAATGCTATAAAATAGAGGATTAATTGTTGAAATTGATGGAGTATTTGCAAATGAGGTTATTAGGTATAATTAAATGGTTCCAGAAATTATGGATAAATTTATACATTATTCCAGGCTAGGTCACTAATATAAGTGTTCATTAATTGATCCACTGAAATTCAAATAATTACGTAATTATTTACATTTTTTTTACTAATATTGGTATTGGTTTATATTGTTTTTAAAATAATATCAAACCAATAAATTTAGGTAAAATTGGTATTGGTTGGTAAATACCAATATTTGGTTTTGTATTGGTATTGATATTGTAAATCAAGAATATATTGGTATTGATTCACAAAACCTAATAAGTCTAATATAATTAATTATTCTTAATAAATAGAGAGATATATATTTAATCGACCCGGCCCGGCCCGAATCAAATTGTTTTATGATTTAGTCCGCATTCATGGTGGGATTCGTCCGACTCGATTTAACAGCTGATCGATTTTTAAAATCTATTCGTGAGATCATTTTTTATTTATTAATATTAATAATATCCTTAATTCTATTCATAATAATTCTAAAAAAAATATCGATTTTTAAAAAGAAAAATTTATCTCATAAAACAGATTTTATAAATCGATCAGCTGTTAAATCGTGTTGGATTGTACGTCACTATGAATGATGCCTTATTCTAGCCCCTTGAGTAAAAAAATATTTTTAAAACATTTTCGGATCTATCCGAGATTTCAGGCCGATCCCGGTTTACAGACCGGTTTTGTAAATTTCTAATTTTACCTTAACAATAACGGTTAATTCATTTTTTTTAAAAAATATTAATTAGATCGTAAAGCGGAATTACACCAGAATCATAAGAAAAACTCATATACTTACAATGACGTTGAAAGAACGGATAAAATACTGAATAACGAGAAATTGATTAGTGTCTTAGTCAACAACGATTCAAGGCTAAGTAATTTTACTCATCTAAACAGCAAACACTCAAAATCGAGCAGACCACCTACTACCTTAGATTTTAAAGAGTGTGGTCCAGCAGAGGTCAAACAAAATATCGACACCTCCAGCCAATCCCCACCGTTTTACAAGATCCGCGAGAACGAAAAAAACAATCCTAATTTTGGTTATAACAACGCCCCATTCTTGAACGGTCTTTTGGATCAAAAGGTAAGCACACCTTCTCCCAATCCATTGAATCCCGATTCCTATTCGTCATCCTCGAGCGACGAATTGAATGGTCACGACAATATCGCGAGGAGAACCAAATCGCGTCCATTTAACTATGACCATTTTATACATTCCGATCCCGCGAAATCGTCCAAGCGTAATCGTGCGCCTAAAGATAATTTCAAGTTGTACCAAGAATTGTTAATGCTGAATCACCTAAAACGGAAGTGCGATAAAAACATGGCCGATTATGACCATGCCGCACCTATATATATACCTCCACTCCCATTCAAGGACACAATTTTGCCGCTTAGGCGGACGAATTACACTGCAGACCAGTCTAGTCATGTTTCGTTTCCAACGTTTTCTACCCCCAAACCAAGCGTTATTATTACCTCCATTGAGAATTCAATAAATCCGAACCCTAAAGACACCGTTATTGTAAAAGATAAAAACGCAAACATTTCGGGCAGAAGCCCTGATAACCGAAACGAAAAGCACAATGTTCGGAAAAGAAAACCCGATCAAGAAAGGTCTAGATTTTACGGCATAAAGGACAATATTTCGATGGTTGGAGACGATATTGACAGCTCCGCCTCTCTGAATCAGCCGATATCCGCTTCGCCGCACGTCAATAACTGGCCACCTTTTTCTTACGATTTCAACTTTATGAATAAAATGTTCTCGCACCCTAACGTGTCACCGTCAAGCTCTGCTCTTCCAGAAAACTTCAAGAAAATAATTAATTATAACATTTACGACAATCCTTTCGTGCAATATTTTCCTCAGTTTTTAAACTCAACGACCACGAGCGCGAATTTAATTAACGAGCCATACGTGCCGTCGCCCAAATACTCAAATAACTCCGCAAGGAAACGCGACTCGGGGAGAAAGTTTTCCAAATGTTCATTATCGCGTCGCACGCAAGATGAAAATGATCATCAAATAGACTTCACGCAGTCGGACTCCTTTCCGTTTCAAAATTCTCTACAAAATCATATGTTCGACGCTTATAATTACCATAATCAATTCCCAATTTTTCCGCTTCCTTCTTCGTTTAAAGATAATCATTATCACAATAATTCCGCGGCGAAACATAATAAACAGCCCGATTTTCTTGCGGATAATCTTCCTTTTCCCAATTACGAAGATTATTTTTGCATGTTGAATTCTTTGGACTGGAAATCGAGATACGACTCTTACCAATATATGTTCTCAAAATCGCCCATGCTCTATCCTCACCCATCATTTCCTTACATGAGTAATTTCCAATTGCCCCCTTTTCACCCCTTATCCAACGATCCAATTGATCAATACACATTTAAATCAAAACAATCCACAAATAAGTTCAACGAAGATTACCAATCGAAATACATGGATATTTGCCGAAAAACAAATCTGTCTCGTCAAAAAAATTCGCCATCTTTAGGCGACGAAATTGTGACCCGCGTTTCATCGAAAAAGAGTGACGAATGCAAATTATTTGTAGCATCTGAGACAACGTCTCAGCCTAATAAAAATAAAATCGGGCCTAAAAGGACAAATGGTGCGCACCATTCCACCAACAGTAACAAAATGGTCAGGGGACAAAACACTTGGCTCTCCAAAGGTTCCAAGAAGGCTAAGGACATAATGAAATGTATATGGTGTGGGGATTCCTTCGGGTCATTACCAGATCTGACATCCCACATGGTAGCCACTCAGCATTACAGGAAAATTATTCCTATCATATCATCTAACGCCCTCGCGATTACAAGCACGAATGGTGAATTTTGCAATAAATTATTGAATAAGAATTTGAAGTTCGAGGCCGCCATCAAAGGTACATTGTTGAAAAAATGCTAAATATTATCATATTTATAATTAAAGGCCCTGATTGGTCAATAGGTAATAACGAACCGGATTGGTGCATAAATTCAAAGTAATCTGTATATAAAAATGTTTTCGCTTTAACGACGGTTACTCGGGCTTGATAAACTTTAAAAAAAATTTCTGTCTCATTTCATATATAATTTGGAAGCAATTAATTCAAAATTAAATAAAATTACATCCGTAAAATTTAAATTATGTGTTATAATATATTCATATTATCTTTATAACATTAGGCAATGATACCGAAACATCACCTAGAGAAATGGGAGGGAATATTTACGATCCATTGTTTAGGATGTCCCCATTAGTATTTAGGCGTTCTGACGAAGCTTCATTATTCGATGCTTCCTCCCTGAAACAGTTATCAAATGTGGAAAGGTAATAAAACATCCGTTTATGGATTTTATACGTGGTTTAAACTGCCAGCCATCTGTTACAACCAAAGTTTTTCTAAGCGCAAGCTACAATTTAAACGATAAACGTCTTGGGAAATTTATAAATGTAGATATTTATCTAATTTGGCATCATGTTAAATTATATACTCTAGTAAATGTTTATTTTTTTTGGAAATTATTGTAAGAAGAAACACATTTAAATGGCTTACACATTTTCGAAAATTTTTTTAGATATAAGGATCCTATTTTAGGATTATGATCAATATAAGTTGAAGAGGGATAGGGGAGGAGAAAATGAGGGGTGAGGTGGGTAGCCAATTTGGGCATAGCAAAAAAAACAATGATTAAAAATTATTTAAATATAAAAGGTTTTCATGAATTGTGAATTGCAAAGCATTCTATCACAAATAGGTATTATTCTATTTTGAATTTTTAGCAAAAATCTAAGAATTAATTTAAATATTTTATCCTTGTTTTATTAATACTTTTCACACGTGATGGATAATAGGAAATTTTTATTCGGCTGAACAAACCCTAAAAGTATAATATAAAAAAAATATATAATAACCCAAGCCAATATCACCATTATGTAAGGATATTATTATTATAACTGATCCATCATCACAATCTTTTATTTTTGCATTAGAATGTATTAGTAAATTATTTAATTACAAAAGAATTATATATAATTAAAAAAAAATGATGTAGATTTGGCTTAGGTTAATTATGAGAATCTTGAATATTATTAAATTAAAACTTAGAAGACTACTTTTACGATATTTATTTGAATGTTGAGGCTAAAACAAAATTATATATAAATCGTTCCAACATTAACGTGAACTCAATTGTATAATAAAATAACCGTTTTTATTTCACTTTTGGATACTATTTTTGACTCAAATTAAATAAACGATTTATGATTTCATAATATGACATCTATCCAATTTAACAAATTACTATTACCAAATTCTTCTGTGGATATATTAAATCTTGATATTGAAAAAAAAATCAAATATTTTGTTCAATTTCATTCAGAGGATATATAAAGGTCTAAAATGCCAATTAATTTCGGAATTTAAATTTTGGTATTGAAAGATTAATTTTTAGCAGCTAATCCTTCAAGAAACGCTATAAAATCATTGCACGATTAGTTTTTTTTAAATTACGAATAGTAAATTAATCAATTTGTTTAAGCGAATCGCATTCATTTTTGAATACAGCCTTACTGGGAGAGTCAGTTATTAGTATCCCCCCCCCCCGATATATTTTAAATTTTTAAATCTACTATTATAACCAATAATTATTCAACTCAAAATCAATACATTTTTTACAAGAAAGTACGAAAGCACAAACCATCTTCAAAATCAAGAAAACCCCATTGAAGAAAAAGAACTAAGGATAAGCCACACGACGACAAAGTATTGTTCAATCATAATAATTACCCTGAAGATAGTTTAATCTCAACCTTAAAATCCAACAATCCTATTTTTCATACTATATCTCAGCCATCAATCACATGCACTAATAAAAAGAGTATTTTAAATTTCGATATCTCTTAACCTTTATATTGATATTTTTAATTGTCGATATAATTAAAAAAAAACTAGTCTTAAAATCAATAGCCAAAAAAAATATATTAGTCAATATTTTATATGTGTTATTTATAATATATTCCCCATTTTTTTATATATATTATTATACTATATATTGTTACTTAAAATAATCAAAAAAAAAGTTTTATAATTTTATTTATAAAAAAAAGCTAATATAAAGAAATATAACTTTTGGGTGTTCGCTTTTATATTATCAATTTTTTTAGAAAAAAAAATCCCTTCCTTCCTTCCTTCCTGCTATCCGAGATCTCAAAATGCAATATTTGGAATATCATAACTATTTTAAAAAATCTGTAAATTTTATTTTTAAAAAAAAAAAAATTCATGAATCGATATAAGTCCTCAATAAATTAACAGAATTATAGTGGAGTGAGCTATCTGTTTGCCAAATCTATGAATGATCTTTGAGACTTTTTTTTAATAGAATTTGGTTTAATTCTAAATATAAATTTAGAAAAACTGTAAATAATTAAAGCGCTAAGATTTTATCAAACGAACAGATGTTCAAAGGATTATAAAGGTGGAATATCTGATTAATAACCGTAATTTTTAATGATAGTAACTTTCAAGTATTCGGTTATTGTCCGAATGAGTGCCTTCCTAGCTCTCTAAAGAAGATAAGAAACTTAGGTCCAACCTTTTATAAGAAATTTTTTTTCAGTAATCGATTCATATTAGATTGAATTGATCGCGAAGATGTTTCTGTTGCGTGAGAAATATTCTCAGTTTTTCTCTAAAATTTCGTGTTTTCACGCTCATACCAAAAAAAATTATAATTATTTTGTGAGGGGCATGTGTGACTCGGATGCCAGAGACCTTGACTGAGGAAGCAAAAGCAAGCTTAACTATCTGGTTTCTATTCTAGAACCAACAAACACTAGCAAGTAGGTAAGGGTTCTAGAGATAAGTGATAAGGTGGAAAGACACGGATCGAATAATCAATAATTAATGGCACTACCAAATGAAAACTTATTCCTGCAAGGGTATTTGCTCAAAATATCTCTTCATTTTTTTGGCCCCTTTCTAGACACAACATTGTTTTATGGTAATTAAATTTACCAAAAAAAATGTAAAATTAAATTTTTTCTAAAAAAAAAAAACTTAGATAAAATTTTCTTCTACGGGAAATTAACGTATATTATACTATATACTGAATATTTATGGTAATTGGTAAAATGAGTGATGAATTTTTTTTATATATATAACATTAATACCATTCATTTTGAATATGTAATTAATGTTTTTAATCAAAAATATTGGATTTTTTTTATTATATATAATAAGCAATGTTTATAATTTTTACTACTAAATTACTAAATTAATCTAAATACGTTATAAATATATAATTCCCTAGCGATCACCTAATACATACACCATAGATGGCACCAATGATTGATTGATAAATTTCAGGCAAAAAGTTGTTTTTTTTTAAAAAAATTGAAAAACAAAAAAATTAATTAATTAATAATAATATTTAAGGGGGAAAAAACTTTTCATTTAAAATAAAAGATACCAAAATTTTAAAATCAATTAATGGTTCGGTTTTGCTTAAGATCTATATATTTTCGATAATTTTTGAAACCCTCTATTTAGCGGAAACTTTGATAACGCGAAATTAAAACCGATTTTCTAAAGAGAGGTCCGGACCCGTATCGTGTCCATTTCACCCCGAGTTCGATGAGTTGTCCATAAATTGGACACCGTTTATTTCTGCGGTCTTAAGACGCTCAACCACCCGGGTTTGGTTGGTCGCTTCCCTGGGGGAGTTTAAGCGTTAATTAATAATGTTATATATTTTGATGTTTAAATATATAAATAATTGTGCAAAAGGACATTTGTCCAAAAAATAAGGGAAAGGTTTTATCCGTTTATTATATGCTTTAATTTATACATTTTGTCAAAAATGACAAAATTTATTTTGAGCTATTTTCTACTTTATTTATTTTTAGTTTTTTTTTAAAATAGTAATTAAGCAAAAAAAAAATAAAAAAATATTTATGCGATAAATTTTTAATGATGAAAAAATGACAAAAAAAAATGTGACATATGTCATAAATTCTCACTCTTTTTTTTCCACAGTCCGGGTTAAAAAAAAATATAATAAAAAATAAGTTGAAATTGAAAGCAATTTTGACCATAGTAAAAAAAATACTATTATGCTATGATAAATTATCATAATTTATTTTAATATAACCAAAAAAGTTGCATTGTGTAATACATATATGTGTACAAAAGAGAAATGTATAAAAATCGTCTATATGACTTTCTTTGGCCAAATTAAAATAAGATTTATAGGTGTAAATATTAAATTGTAATTTAAAACATAAAATTTAAGTTTAAAAAAAAATTAAATTAGATTAGATTTTAACGGGAATTTTATTCCTTATGTAAATTACGATCGTTTTGTAAATTATTTAAATAATTTTCCTTTATGGAAATATGCATAAATCATTTGGTAACATAATTTATATTAAAATGTTGTATTCTTTCTTAAAATACCAATTACTAATAAAAAAAAAAAAATTCGATAAAAAAATCATTAAATTACAGCCAAAATTTATGAATTTTATTATCTAAACTTTTACCAAATAATTTATAAAGATTTGTATTTTCTAATGTTTCATCTTAATAACAGACAGCGTCTACATGACAGTATATTCACTGGATGCAAACCCCCCTCAAAAATATATATCTACGCCCCTAAAAATACCAAAATGTTATCCATAGATAATTTAAAAATGTAATGGAAAATTTTCTAGATTATTATAGCCTACCCCCCAAAATGCCTACCCCCTACCCCTTTATAGATATTAGGATGCAAACTGTTCCTACCCCCCCCCCCCACCCCCGGTAATGTAGATACTGATAACAGATATAAATTACAAAAAGTCAACTTTTCGATGATTAAATAATTTAACGTTGAGAAAACTAAATTATCAAACGTTATTATTTCTGTTATAGAGTTGAGGATGCAACCTCGCATGATATCATTAATGGTCTCCAAAAAATGATTATGGGGGTCAATTTCAAGATGGGGTCTAAAAGCAAAATTAAATTCATACTCCTATTTCGAAATTAGATTCATGTAACCATAACCCTTTTTTTATTTAAAGTTCCGTCCATCCCTTAAAAGGCTCGCATATTATTTTATCCGATGTATATAATAAATTAGGTTTAACAGTTTACATTAGATTTTCATAACGAGTCACTCTATTTAGGGTTTATCCTATTTTTAAATTCTTATTTGTCAAGTGACTATAAAATAGGATTGTAATATTCTATATGGAACTCCTCCAAAATCCTAATCTCTGCTGAGATTAATGCCACAATTCGGGTTAGCTTTATAGGAATATTCGCAATGCTATTCAATTCTAAAAAAAAAGAGATTAAGTAGCGTATTGCAAAACATGCCTGGTCTTTTATGAATGAGCTTTGAAGCGAATATAAACTTAATTAACTTAAGCGAAATGAATTTAAACAAAATAAATTAAAGATAACAAATTTAACCTAAACGAAATTTACGGGTTAAATAAATCAAAACTAGCTAAAATTCCCGCCCTGGTAATATCGGGAATTTTTATGCAGGGAATTTTGGGACATTTTGAGGAACTTTGTAATAATGTTCCAAAATGACTATAAATCATAAAAAATTTGACAATTTTATTTTGCCTAAAATGAGTAATGTTTTACTCTAATGATTTAATATATTAATTTTTAATGCGTAATCTTGTATTTAAATATGGGAGTGGAGTTCAAATTATCCTCTTCTTCTTTAATGATATCACTAATCTGCTGATGATAATTTTTTTCATTTTCTTACAATCTCGAATGGATGATTACATGTAGTATCAATTTTATGTCAAATATAAATTGCATTTTATAATAAATTAACCTTTCCACGCCTTTATTGCTGAGCCTATTTTACGATTTTTGAAATAGAAGCATGCCACATACAACAAATTCCGGTAAATGGACCCTTACTTAAAAAAATATTCATTCTTGGTTTAATAGGATTTCACAATTTATGTCATTGTTTTGCTTGGGATGGTAATTAGATATATATGAAGAGAGGTGTGATGAAACTTTTTCTATTTTTCGCTATGTATAAATTCTCTTGAAAAAGGATTATTTTTATTATCATTTCACCAAATGATACATATTTATTTTAACGCCTAAAATAATTTTTTGAGTATATTATCATGTTCATTATAGTAATAATTCAAAATTCTAAGTTTTTTCTTCTCCTTAGCAATTATATTATTTTTTTTGGTAATGCAAATAAATGGGAATAAAAGTTTTATTTTTAAATCTAGTTATTTGTTTAAATTAATATTTTTCATTTAATAAATTGTATTCAAATAAAAATAGTATTTGTAAAATCGGAGTACTAAATAGTTGGTAAGAAAATTTTGATAAAGTAAGCAATTTTAACTTCAGTTACCTCTTAGGTGATCAAGTCATAACAATTTCTTTTATAAGCCCTTACCATTTAAAACATTTTCTAGAAGCTTCACTATTATAAGACTTCCAGGATACAGACCTAAAAGTATAAATACATATAGCAATATTACTTTAAAATTTAAATTACTTTATGACTTTTATTGCACACAATATTTCATTATTTTTTTTGGTAAACGTCACCTAAACATACCAATTAAAACTTCCTAAATTTCCTTTTAGTTTATTTATATTTAAATAATTATATCTTTACTTAACTGATTTATGATTGTGAAAGCGATAATCAATTCAAGTTTTTTTTTATTTATAGAAAGTATAAGAAAAATAATTATGTTATTAAAACATGATATTGATTGTTAGGTTTTAAATAAAATTTACTATTCGAAAATTATTACAGTTTCAACAATCCAAAACATCTATAACGGAACTACTTTGCATTATATCTCTAAGACGATTAAATTTTTATGTTAATTTACCATTAAAATGAGAGATGTTCAAATTAAAACTAGCCTGATCTACAAATTTGGTGAAGGAAACTTGATGATAAGATCTATTTTAAAGAATAATGTCTTTTCTTCTGATTTAAAGTCAAAAAAAAATGTTAAGCAATAAATTATAATATCATCATTGTCGGTCATATTTTATATGCACACTGTAAACTAGAAAATCAATATGTTCATACACTAAATTTACAGTTAGCACCAGCTAAAAAATAATAGGGTCGATTTAGATACGGTGGGTTAGAAGATTTGACCACTGTTCAGTTAAAAGCGGGTCACTAAAACTTGATTCCGTTAATTGGGAAATGTCAGTCAAAAATATTTTTTTTTAAAAATAGTTAGTATTATATATTTCATTCTTTAACAGAAATTTTTTATAAGTTTCCAAATATATAAGATTTAAAATTCTAAGATTTCTTACTAAAATGTTAAGAGTGTGGCAAGTTATGAATAACAATTCCGATATTATTCAATGTTGAATTTCCATCTATGGCAATGTAGTATAAGTTTTGGAAAATTTCTATTTTAAATATTTTTATAATTTTTAACATCTCAGGATTTGATGATAAGAGAATCTTTAATGATAAATGGCTCATCTGATGATACCAATAAATTATTGTTGTATCAATATGATAAATATATTCTACAATTTTCATAAAAATTTAATGTAACCTTTACATCAAAGTTTAATATTAAAAATTGTATCATGATCATCATCGCTTGTCGTCGAATTCAATGCTTTTTATCAAATTTTTAAACTCAAATGAAAAATATAGGAAATTACATATGACGTGATTATATTTCATGATATATATTTTTTTCCCCCAGAACTAATTAAAATCAATTTTAATAATTAATAGGCTATACCTTAAACCAGGAATCCGAAAAGGCAGATTTGCGTTGATTATTGTTTCTTACGTTCTTAATTTTATAGCTTTTTCTTGTGCTTTTTTAAAAATATTTTATAAGTTTTTAAGCTCTACTAATTTTTAATGTTTAGGCCGTGTTCTGGTTCGACTTATTACTAAACAGAGGGCTGTTTAGCCGGTAATTTAGCTTCAATTAAACAACCCAAAAAAAAGTAAAAGTAAAAATATTTAAAAACGAAAAAAAAAGATAAATGCCCATGGAAAAAGAAAAAAAAACATAAAAAAACGAAAGAAACAAAAAAAAATGAGAAAGAAAAATAAATATAAAATAAAACAATGCCCCTCCTAGTTCACAAGCGCCTAAAGAATAAGTAAAACTGTTGTGTTATGACTGAGAAGTAATGAAATTTGAATCTGTAATATTTTGAAATAAAACAATGACTTTATTAATTTCAATACTCGTTCTATAGCCAAAACTTAATATGTTAATTTCTTATATAAAGTGATAAAAAAAGGTAAATTAAAATTATAAAATAAAAACTTATACAATGTTAAGATAATATTTAAGAAAATATGATTTTAGATAAAAAAATCAAATTAAAAGGCATATTTAAATAAAACTTAGCTTCCCCTGGCGAAAATTCTTTCCGGTGATTTTCGGGGTTTCTTGTCGGGTAACGTGAGAACGTTTCTTTTATTTCAGCATGATGTTAATTTCGGTAGTAGCGAATTGATTTTAGGTTGGGAGTTCAACTCATCTAGCTCTATCGTAAGTAATTATGACAAGCAGTCGGCATTCCCGTGTTTATGGGTATTTTTCCTTATGTAGTATTGAAATTTAGTTAAGAATAGTGCCCATCTCGTTGGTTTTGGTGATAAGTGCTATATTTTTTTTTCGGTTGAATACAGATAATAACGGTTTATGATCTGTCACTATTTCAATTTGCCGTCCTTAACAGTTTAGTTCAAGTTTATTCAGACCTAAAATAATTGACAAATCTTCTTGGTCTATTTGAGAATAATTTTCAGCTTTTTGTACACTTGAAGCGAATGCAATAGGCTTTTCAGTATTTTCGGCAAATCGATAGGATAAAATGACGCCAGATCATAATTGGAAGCATCGGCGATAAGAATATGGACTTGATTATATATAAGGCGTTATAAAAGGAACGTCAATTATGTGTTTTTTTAAATCCAGAAATGCGTTATCATAAACTTCTTACCAGATCCATTGATTATTCTTTTGTAATAAATTTAGTGACCGTGCCTTTATTGTGAAATTCCGAATGAAACAATGATAATACGTAAGGTGTCCAATAAATGCTTGTAATTCTTTTATATTTTTTTATTTAGGCACATTCATTATAGCTGTTATATGTTTGTTCGGGGTTTGCATTCCATTGCTATTTATTTTGCTTAAAAACATATTTAATCGTAGTTCAATTTCAAGTTATTATTGTCTAGTATTTTAATGGTCTCTGTAAGTTTAGACCAGTTGTTTAATAATGAATCGAACACTCTTTGAAATATGGCAGGAAAAGACGATACTCCGAATGGTAATCTATTTATTGATGTTGAATCTTGTTTTGTCCAATCTGACTAAAAATGGTTAGTATTGTAAGTAGTGAGTGGGTACTTACATAAGATATTCATTCATAGTATGCCTGAAATCTCCACAAATTCGAATGGTCATCTTTCTTTTTGATATGTATTACATGTGAGATTAGAATAGCGTATTTTGCTGATAAAATTTGTTGGGGTCTGGAAAAATTGTTCACTGGTGCGTTGGTTTTCAATTGTAGATGCGTTTTTTTAGCGTATCAAGTATTTTCGATAATTTAGAAAACTCCTTGAACCAATTGTACTCGCCTATTTCATTTGCCTTATCAATGTATTATCTTAGTAGTTCTGGATTTTGTACTATGATATCAAGTTCAAAAATATTTTTACCAATTCGTGATATATGGTAAATTTGCGATTGGGTTGTATTGGCTAATTTAATAATTAATTCGGTTTTTTCTAAAATCTCTATGAAAATTTCCGATATGTAGATGAATATAGGTACGGGGCCACTTCCACGCCAGCATGCAATAAGCTGGTGACTCTCCACCACGTAGGAATTAGCTCAGAAATTAAGAATATCATAAAAATACCTTTATTAAATTAGACAATGGTAAAATTTCAATAACAGAATTTTGAAATATATATCTTGTTTGGTGTGTAAAATAATATCATTTATGTAGTATGTTTAATTATTTAACAAAACAAAAACAAATTATCCTAATTATCAAGAGCCCAAATAATATATGTTTGACTAATTTTTGCTTCATAATATAGACTATGTACCATTATTTTTTATAAATATATGCGTATTCTGTAAAATTAAGCATCCTATTCCCCCTACCCCTCATGACTGGATTTTTAAAGACATTATCTAATAACTTTTGAAAAGTAATCTTTGGCATTAATTGTGGCATTAATAAATTGCGTCTTTCAATACTTATAGTTGTAAATATAATATGATTTTAATTTAAGATTTGAGAGCAGAGAGCAAAATTTACATAGGCAAGAAAACATGTGATTTAGGTTTATCTAAATAGAAAATATATATCTATGGTTAATGCTCCGATTAGCAAAATTTTAATTGCAAAAATTTGGTCTAAAAAATTTGACTTAAATTTAAACAGAAATTATTATTTATTTATTTTTTTTTTGGGGGGGGGGGGGAATATAGAGCCAACGCTTCCCTCTTCCCGGTTAGATAATTATGTCATCTATTATCAAATTTGTTAAGCCAAATTTGTCATGACATGGCAGATCAATATATAGATGCGAAGTAATGGCTAATCTATATTTTTTTGTAAAATTAATAGAATATTTTATATTAGGGCACGATTCATTTTGTTTTATTATCTCCTCTCCGTCATATGATATTTGTATTAATTAATCACGCATTCATAATATTTTTAATGATTTTTTTTGAAATTTTTAAACTTTAATTGTTAGTTTTCCGCGTCTTTTTTTAAACCTTTTTGATACATATTTGGATGCAACCTAATGAGAATTATAGTTTTGATTGATATTGATTGTTTTTACGTGCAGGTTGAAAGGTTATTAAATCTAAATTTAGTAAATAAGCCATGTGCAGTAGTACAATATAATCCATGGAAAGGTGGTGGGTAAGTTTTAATAACAAATTATTTTAACATGATCTTATTTGTTTATACTATAGCATCATTGCACTTTCATATGAAGCAAAAAATGCTGGTGTTACTAGAGGCATGAGAGGTGAGGATGCTAAGGAAAAGTGTCCTGATATAGAATTAATCACTGTACCAGAATCAAGAGGCAAAGCCAACTTATCTAAGAATGTTATTTTACAATTCTGATAATTCAAAATATTTTATAGATATCGGGATGAAAGTGTGAAGATTCTGGATGTTATTAAAGAGCATTGTGTTGATATTGAAAGAGCAAGCATTGATGAAGCTTATTTAGATATAACCAAAATTGTAGAGACTAGAGTTAATAAATATAGGACTATAATTATGAACACTAAAATACTAAATGATAAATTATTAAACTCATTATTTACTCCAGATGATATTGCATTAATATCAGAAGATACTTGTATTGCGCCTTTGAAATCAGGTTGAATAATACTATTTTCAAATCTCATTATTTTTTAGTGTCTAACTTTGCTGACATAAAAACATACATTGATAAGCAACCAGATAAAATTATAGAATATCTATCACTTGTTTATGGAGCAATTTTAACAAAGCAAATTCGAAACTCTATATTATCTAAATGTGGTTTCGAATGTTCTGCAGGTATATCTCAAAACAAGGTAAACTATACTTTAATATTTTATTAAATTTATTTAATTTAAGATTTTAGCAAAATTAGGATGTGGGTTGAATAAGCCTAATAAGCAAACTATCGTTGCACCAGATGCTATTGAAGAATTATACAAAACTGTTCCACTTAAAAAGATGTATAAAATTATATTTTTATCAGAGATTTGCAGAGATCAAATTTTAAGGATATCTTTCCCATCCATTTTTTCACTCCAATTAGATTTTTTTTTAGAATTATTTTTTGGCAGACCCATGTTTTGATTGCTTTAAATTAGAAATGCCACTATAAGTAAAATAACTGATCCATTATATATATTTACAAATGATTAATTACTATAATTTACATTTATTTTGAAAAAATTGAGTAAAACTGGATCTTGTAAAAAAAATAATAATATTTTTAGGCCCATCAGCTTGTTAAATTTTTTTCAATTTAGAAATGTACACCTTATTTTTTTAAAATTATATCATTTTAAAACACTCTCTGAGCAAGATCTGCAGGTTCCTAATTTAGACACTTTATTAAATTAAGATCTTCTTATTATTTTTAAAATATAATCTATTTTTTTTTAGAAGTGGATTAGGTGGCAAATTGGGAAATTCACTGCAAAGCAAATATGATATTACCTATATGTACGAATTGACTAAAATACCTTTGGCAAGATTAAAAGAAGATTTTGGTAATAAATGTGCAGAATGGTTGCATGATTTATCCAAAGGAATTGAAAATGAACCCATTAAAAATAGATTAATTCCTAAATCCATTGGATGCGGTAAAAATTTTCCTGGAGGTCTAGTCAAAAGAGATAAGGTTTGTAATCATGAGATCTGTTAAAATAAAATTGTACTTATTGATTATTTATCTTTTGTAAAACAAGTCAATATTATTATTTTTTAATTTAATGCATTATGGCAAAATCTACCTGTGATATCTCAGCTGTCCTCTCCATCCCCAACCTAATTGAAGACTCTCTAATATCTTCATTTGTGAGATTTTCTCACCATCTCATTTTCCCTCTTTTGCTCTTTTTCCCTACCCATTCCTATCCAAAGATTAGTTCACTTAAGTGCCTTCCCTCCCCATAAGGATTTGGTTAACATTTTTTCCCTAATTTTAAGAACTCTTAAAAATCTTTCCTGTTTTTAAGCTTTTTATACTAAAAAGATGTCTATAACTTACTTAAAATTCTATGAGCGATGGGATAACTTATTTTCAAAGATGAAGATCTTCTGGCTTCATTTAAAATTAAATATTTACAGATATCCTTTTAAAACCTAAAGTTCTCTAATTCTGCTTGCCTTAAATTCAAATTAACTTGCCATGTAAATCCGGTGAGATTCCTTGTATCCATCAATATCGCCTTTCATTTCAAACAATTTATTCTTTCTTTAATTTCTACCTTCCCATGTGACGTCTTAGCTCTATCAGCTAGACTAATCTCCCTCGCATAAAAAGACTGACTATCTCCTTGTCCGTTCTGTTGCATCTTACGAACGCTCAACCCTCTTTTTTAAAGCAAGAACTTGCCCCGAATGGTTCGAGGCTATCCCCAAATCTGACTGGAGAAAAACTTGGGAATCAGCATCTCACTCCGCCAGGCAGCATCGTGGTAACATCTAATTGTGTAGACTGTGACCATATGGCAATAAAGGCTAGTACCAACTCCATTGCAAGTATTCCTGCGGATGTCAACCTCATCACTAAGCAACAATATATGTTGCAAGCTTTCATTAAGCAAACATGCTATTCATCTTTCAACCAGCAAATCTTTTCAATGATTTCAAATGGCAGATGCCTAATGCCCTGGTCTAATGGTCTATCCTACCCTGGATCTACACTTGCTTCAATTTCTCGGTTATATCCAGAAATTTAAACTCGGCATACCCCCATGACGAAAGGAATCTTAAAAAAAATATGCTGTTATTTGGTTTTTGTACAATAACAAAATTGTAAGTATCTATTTTTTATTTAACCCAGTTTACAGTAAAATTTTTTAAGAGTGATCTCAGATACGGTTAACACTTAATTTTTGACCAAATGTGAAAGTGTGTGACCAGCATTTTTATAACTCCTCGCTATTCTTAGCTAAATTTTGTTAACCGTCTATCTCGCAATGTTTCGTTATAGTTATTTTCCATTTTTTTTAACCTGATATAGTTATTAAAGTTAAATATATATGTCAATACTCGGATAATATGGTTAGCTTTCGCCGTATATCAAAATATCCCGTTTTCCCTTGTAATATTAGCTATAACGTGTTTTTACTTTTATGTGTTGTTGTTGTTAAAAAGTTCGATTTGGGTAGATTTTTTTAAAAAACGGCCCGATTAATATTTTTTTAGTTAAAATAATATTTATGTGAGCCTTAAGATTTGCCAAGTGGAATCCCAATCCATTCTTGCCATCTATGAGCAAAAATCACCAGGCATCAGTATATGGTGATATTGAATTTATTTTTACAATCAAAATTTTTAGTCTAGTCAAATCAGATAGGAAGACTAAATTTAGTGTAAACGAAAACATGAGCGCGATATCGATTCTCGCAACGACTTTCTTCTTTTTCTTTTAGCCAAACGCGATGATTTACAAGCTTATTTATTTTAGCCCCTTTTTTTATAGTCAGCTTAGTTCCTTTATTTTAGCAATTCTTCGTGACAATTTTCATATGATCTTACAATCCACACATGTTTTTTTAAGAAAAATAAATATTTCGGCTGATATATACTTACTTATTAATATAGCTAAATTCACTTCTCTTTTAGCTTTTCCTCACATTTAGTCATTTTAAGATTGTATTTAGTCTATACATATAATCATTCAATGCACACGTTTTTGAAAAAATAAAAAAATATTTCGGCGAAAATATTAGTTAAGCGATTGTTCATTACACTTTTTTTTAGTCATTTTTGGGATAATATTTAACTATGTTCATATAATCATACAATCCACATATGTTTTAAATATATATTCATCTAAAATTTACTTACTATAAATATTACATGTCATATCACGTTTTACAGGTATAATGATTTGTCCTGAATTCTCATAAGAATTTCGAGCAATTTCTTATATACCTGTAATGATGCATATATTTATTTTAAAGAAATTTTACTTGTCTATATTTTGCGCTTCTATTATTTTAGATATATCATTGGATGTTACAACTAGTTGATGAATTGTTAGAGAGACTTGGTAAAGACAAAATCGAGGTTATTATATTTTAGAGATTAAAGAAAAAAAAAATTCCCCCAAATAAATCCAATTAAATGAAATAACGGGAATACTAATATTCTGAATTCGATAAATCTATTTTATAAATATTAAAGAGATTTCTCCATCTTTACCGATTTTTTTTTTTGAAAGCTGAATTTTAGATTCCAGAGTTTACTTCTCTCACATTGATGTTGTTTAAAGGGATCGATTTGAGGCGATTTTTTAAAAACGGCTAACTAAATATTTTAACCTAAAAAAATATCGCCTAAAACCTGTGCCATCTATAACCAAAATCTTCAGGGTTTGCTTAATATTTTGTCTCATATCGTATCAAATTTTTAGCGATTTAGAACATATCTCTGAACATACCATTTTTTTTCAAAAATATAAAACCCTTTATTTAAAATTATTTAAAATACTTACAGTAAATTATACTAGTGGAACTTATGAATTTTAAATATATATATATTTAAGGGAACGAATCACTAATAAAGTTTTGGTTTTGTGTGCTGCTTGCTTAGTATAATGATTTAGATAGAGGAAGATAATCTATTTGGTTTTCGGAACAAAAATAATTTCTAATTTTGATAAAATATGGTTTGGACAGAGATTTCTAAAACGCTAGAAAAATTGGGAATATTTCACATATATATATATATATAAATCCTTAAAATAATGTTGATATTGAATAAACGCTAGGACAGGCAATACTTATTTTTTTAATTGAATTTCTTATTTTTTTTTAAAAAAAAAATAGTTAAAATGTGATATATATTTGATTCCATTTTTTTTTCGCGATTTAGAACGCGAACCAATATTTGGATATCGAACATGCCCTATATAATAAACCCTTTTATTATTTTTGCTTTAAAAATAATAATAATTAAAATTTCATATTTTTTTTTAATTATCATGTAATTTATTATTAAAATCATTGGCAGAATCAAAGATCTCCAAAAACTTTGCACCTATCTTTGGGCCAAAATATTCACGACACTAGTCGAGTGTCTCATCAAATACCGTTTCCTTCTAATTACAAGAACACCGAAGAATTCGCTCAAATTTGTCTTAGCAACCTTAAAAAATTTAACGAAAACAAATCTGGAGATAAATGGTATATTATAAATTTCCGCAGCGTAAAAGGTTTTACGCCAAACGCCGATTTTTTTTTAAAGCAGTGTTCTAATCGACTTAGCCGAAAACTGGAGCCAAGTTTTGGGTCGAAAAAATCGTCCCGAAACTGACTAGAGTTGTAAAACTAAGTTCCTAAACTAAAGTTATGAAACTCGAGATATTAACCAGAGGACGAAAATTACCTTCTTAAATTAAAAAAATAATTTTTATTTTCGTTTTTTTTAAAAAAAATAAATTTAAGAATCTCTAGATAATTTTTTGGATAAGATCCCCGCCTTTTCTTATGTAATAAGAAAAAATTAAAATATATATTTGTACCAGAGACCTGAAGGCCCGGCCTGGGTACACGGGCCGGGCCTAAGTTTTTTTAAAAAAAACATCTGATCCTGGCCGTACGAATGGTATAGATGTGATATCAGCACAATAAATTTTTTTAGCTCAGTTTATGTATCAGGATACATTTATAAATGTATCGAACCTGATTTTGCTCGTGGGTGGCAGTTTTGACATCTATTCGCGAAATCTCGAGGCTTAGGTAATATTTTTCTGGCGAAAATATTTAGTTAATCATTTTTAAAAATCAGTTCAAAATGGCGATAGTTTGTATAAATCCCTTTTTTTAGACGATATATCTGAAACCATTTTAAAAGTATCCTTTAACGACTCTGACAATCGGTAAGGATAGGGTAGTATAAAGTATTCTGTTCCTATTAAAGATGTGTTTTTTTTATATAATTTCCGTTCGGACTGGGTCTAATATTTTTTTATAGAGTTTCAGGCCCTGTATAAATTTTTAAATATGATATCATTTTTACAATTTAGTGATATATTTTTTTAAATTCTTGCTGGTAAATAAAAACGCAAAATATATACATGTATTAAATTATTATTATTTAAATTTGAATATTTAGCATTATTTTAAATACGAATTACATTGGTATACAATAAATTGCCAAAACTAAACCGAATCAGGCAGAAATTTGTTTTTGATATATCTTTTTTAATGCTATTTGTTTCTTTAAACAATTGGTTAATTTTCTATATTAAAAAATAATAATAAATGGACTAGAATATAGAATTAAAAGATAATTGATTCCTCGTCAAAATTGCTTAATTCCTATTTAGGATTACAATCCAAGTTGTTCAATGTTTGAGGTAGGGATGTGAACCCGGGTTCAAGAATTTTAAATTTCATTTAAAAGAAATTTTGATAACAAGAATTTAATCGAAACCGATTTCCTAAGAGGGGTCCGAACCTGCTTCAGGTCCATTTTACCCCGGGTTTAATGAGTTGTTCTAAAATCTGTCTCTGTTTGTTCTCTGGTTTCAAGATGCCCAAACCAAACAATTTTTAATTTCCCGAACCCGTCGGGTCTCGTCTTTATCACCAGTGCTTATTGAAATTTTACCACTTCCCCTCTATTGTAATAATCATATTTTTTTTCATGTTATCTTTACTTTAACAATTTTTTTTTAAAAAAAAGGAGATTTTTCTTGGGGAAAAAAAGGCAACTAATTTAAGTTTTCTTTTTTTTTAGTTTGTGTCCTAAATATAAGAAAAACTAATCAAAAGTTTCATGAATTGCCTAACTTTCTTGAGTTTTGAGAGATTCATAACATGTCCCAAATCTTCTATCAAATTTTCAAAAAATAATTTTATGTGAATGATTTAATAATTCTATATTTAATATTCTTGCAAAAATTTACGCGAATTGAATTTCACATAATTTTTGATATTTGAAAAATTTTCTAAGGCTGAGGTAATTTTTAAAAATAAATTCGTTGGTTAAACTACTTTTTTTTTTAACTTTACATAAAAAATTATTTATTAAAATATAGAATATATAAATTAAAATTGAATAATAATAAATTGGTATAAAGATCTGATTGGCTAAAATCTTTATCATTTTCCTTACGCTTTGTCTTAAAAGCAACCATTTTGAGAATTGTAGATCCGTGATTTTTCAAGTGTTTCCTTTCATTATAATCCGTTGTCGTTTGATTGAGGTGTAAGATCTATCATAGATCTAATCTAGTATTGATATTCTTTTTACGGTTTATAATTTAGCTTTCGATATTAAGATGCTTCATAACTTGTTATTATATAATTAATATTGTAGCTCATCATTATAATTTAGTCATCATTACTCGTTAGTCATTACAGAAAAAAACATTCTAAATATAATTTGATTAAATATCTCCATTTGAGAGCGTTATGAAATTTTTTTTTGATCTTTGAATTTTAAATATGTGAAACCTTAGATAAAAGCTTTTAAAAAGCCTATAATCTTATATTAAATAGATTTTTTTTTAAACTAAATATCTTCAAAATAATATATAAAATTACACTATTTATCGATAACTTAATAATACAAAATAACAAGATTTTATAATGCAATCAATAAGATACAAATATATATATATATATAATGACTTCACATTTGTAACGTTCCAATTATTTAAGCACATACAATGTTTAAGTGTTGTCGATGACATCCCGTTTCGCTTCTTGGTCATAAAGAATCAACTGTCTTGCTGAATGCTCTTTCACTTGGAACGCTGGACGTTTATTGAGCAAGGTAATCCTTAGCTATCAGCGACAAGGTTAGGGTAAAATTTGCCGTTTTTTGCCCCACCAATCAAGTATATTAGTTGAAGCTGGTTTACCCGGTTCAGTATACAAATAAAATTATAAGCTATATTTATTTTTATAGCCAATTTAAAAAATCATGTTGGAAGAAATTATTCAGAATTAATTGGAAATGGAGAGAGCGAAGATGTACCAAAATGCTTAGTTGGTATTCGTAGATTATTACCTAAGGAAAACGAATTTTCTTAACAAATTAATTTTGAGATTTAATTATAAAGAACAATATTCCTTTCAAAGCTATGGATAGTAATTAGGAGTTCAGAAATATTTTTTCCTTCATATTCTGTACAAGACAAACAGCTTGCAAATATATTAGAAAAAAATATATAAAAGTTCTAAATTAAAGCATATTACAAAGTTAAAAAATGTTAAAAGTAAATTGGCCATCATGAAAGATATGTGGACAGCTCATCATATCTTGCGTAAAGGAGATAATCTTGTCCTTGATCTCAAAGTCATCGAGAGATTCTAACAAATATCGTTATATCCTCACCACTATGAGGATATGGTAGCTCCAGTAAATCTAGAAGGAAACTTTCCACTTTTTATCCATATAGCGGCATGTAATTACCCAAAAAGACGATGAATTAATTGATGTCCACATATCAGTTGTGATGGCTAATTTGCTTTTAACATTTTTTAACTTTGTGATAAGCTTTAATTTAGAACTTTTCATATATTTTTTCCAATATATTTGCAAGCTGTTTGTCTTGTCCAGATTTTTATCATGCTTGAATATGAAGGAAAAAATATTTCTGAACTCCTTGCTATCCATAGCTTTGAAAGGAATATTGTAATTTGTTAAGACATTCGTTTTCCTTAGGTAATAATCTACGAATACCAACTAAGCATTTTGGTACATCTTCGCTCTCTCCATTTCCAATTAATTCTGAATGATTTCTTATAACGTGATTTTTTTAAAAATTGGATATAAAAATAAATATAGTTCATAATTTTATTTGTTATTTGCTGAACCGGTTGCACCAGCTTCAACCAATACACTTGATTGGTGAGCAAAAAATAAAGACTTTTACCCAACCTTGTCGCTGATAGCTAAAGATTACCTTGCTCAACAAACGTCCAACTTTCCAAGTGAAAGAGCATTCAGAAAAGCAGTTGATTTTTTGACCAGGAAGCAAAACAGGATGTCATCGACAACATTTAAACATTGCATGTCCTTAAATAATAGGGATATTACAATATGAAATCATTATATATATATATATATGTATGTATCTTATTGACTGTATTATCAGTGTGAACACTAAAATATCTATCACACATTTTACACACTCGGCGATTTTTGTTAGGGAGCTTAATTCAAACAGGCTCATTGTAATAAAGGAAGTACTATCTATCGATGTACTAACCGAGGAATAAGATAGGGGAGACCAGGGCTAGTCGGCGCAAGGGGCTTGTCGGTTCAAAGGATTTTATTTTAAAACTAGTAACGATTAATAACTGAAATTTTGTTCTAAAATAGAATTCTATAATATCCATATTTGGGGATAAAAATAATTTATAATATTTAGCTATTTAAATTTTTATCTGTTATAACATGTTTTTGACATGAATTTCAGAATATTTTCCCTTAATATTATTAAGCTGTATTAAAAAATTAAAAGTTTAAACATGACAAAATGCACAATATATGAAATTAAAATATCTATTTTAATATCTGGGAAAGTTTCAGATTGATACATAATGCTTAAATATATGTTAAGATTATATTAGTAATATTACCATATTGAGGTTAGTAGAATCGTGGCTAGTCGGCGCAATCAATTAATGTTTATAATATTAATATGGTACGCCGATATATACGAAAAATTCAAAACAGGAAAATATTTAGTAATAGTGATTTTGAAGAAGCTATTAGACTATATGAAAATAAGATCTCATCAAGAAAAATATTAACTATTACAGGTTAAAATATAATATTTTATAAATGTAATATAAAAATAATAATTATTATATAAATTTATTCATGTAATTTTTCATAATACATTTCAATTTTAATATAATAGCAGACCTAAATAAATATCTTGCAAATAAAATCTTTGTATATATATATATATTGTGATAATTAAATATATATTGTCATAGATATATTGCATATATAAATTTTAGCCTGATAATAAGATCAATTATTTAATATAAATTATGTGAAGCAAACAAATATTTATATATATTAATTATAATTAACAGTATAATATGATTCAAATTAATACATCTTATTGGATATGAACATTTTAGTAAATAAACTTTAGCTTGATAATAAGATCAATTTTTTAATATAAATTATGTGAAGCAAACAAATATTTATATAT